CTGAATAGCGTTCTCTTTAGTTTCCTTTTGGAGAGAATGACACTAATAACTCCACCTGCATTGTGAATTCAATTCGTTCATCCAGCTGGTTTATAAAGTTGAAGAATTCATCCACATTTTTCTTAGCATTCGACAAAAAAGCAAGCAAATCATTCCGGTATCGCATAAACATTCTGGTTGCAGCGAAGAGTTGTCGAATTCCTTTTCCAATTTGTCCATGTATGCATTTGTCAAAAGATGTAAGAATGTAGATCCCATTGGTAGCCAAATATTCGCCCATAGATATAACCGTTAATTGTAAAATAGATGCTACTTACTGTCAGGTTGATCAGTCGTACAAACGACTCCATCCGCATCCGCTCCACTTGCAGGATATCCTCCTCTAGTTCCAAGATCTCCAGCAGGGCCTGAGATTCTTGTGTACACAGATTGTACGTCAAAACTTGCCAGTCCTTCCATCCACGCAATGCGAATGCTTTGAATCCTTTGAAGAAATTCATTTGAATTATTCACGATGCTCGAGAGTGTGTCATTTACTTTCTTGAGCTTCAAGCAAATGAATTTCGCTAGCTCTTAATCTTGACGGATTTCCCTTCTTGTGTATCTTCGGTAGTCCGTAGGCTGTCAGTGGCCTTGCGTCATTTTTTATTAAAAAATTTAGCATTCATCTATCGCTTTCTCCATTGTTGTGTTTTTCCTTAAGTATATCCTTCAATATTCCCTTGAGCTTCATTGTTGGATCCTTTCTTAGTATTTGATAAGTCTTCGAGTTGCCTAGGCTACTTACCAATTTCTCCGTGTACTGTTTCCCGTCTAGACTTTAGGAGTTTGCTCAGTGAGGCTGGCGTATATGCGCTATCAAAGGCTTGAGGCAGAATGTGGAAAATAACGCATCGAGTAGCACGAATATGGTAGCAGCGATCAAATGAAATCACTGAACCTGGCAGATAAGAGATGGATCCTACGGAGCAAGAGGGAGATTCTGGGAGGACCTGAAGGAAGAAGATTGAAGACTAAACTGTAATCTTGGATCCACACTTCCGGCACAGCGGGAAGGATGTGGGGACTAACTGGGAGAGTGAATAGATTTTAACTAAGTTTAGACAAACAAGTGAGAAATTGTGATATTGAAGGGGTGATATGAGGATAGAGGATAGGTGAATACGCCAGGACAGGAGAGATACGACCACTGTTTATCATACAAGTAGTCGAAGGATCGACTTCATTTGTCTCTTTAACGAATTGTAGTGTTGTGCTAAGAATGAAAAGGACGACAAAACGTCTGAAACTAAAACAAAGTCTACAGTCCGACTCTGGAGATTATCATGCATCATATGGGCTCGGGAAAAGGTGTGCTTCTTTAGATCATCCTGAAAGCAAGGGCAAACAACTTCTAATTAATCATTGTCTTTGGCAATATCACTGGTGCCCTTATCAGACACTCTTTATTCTTCCACAACATGACGACTGACAAGATATAATTGACTGTCTATAACTCACCTGACGAAAACGGTATGAGTGTGTATAGGAATAGTAAGATGGCGTAGCCTCAAGTTGGGCCACGGTCCTTGTTCCCCAAATATATATAATTTGACCTCGTAGAAGTGGGTTGACCTCGTTGTCGCAACTTGGTCTTGTTGCCAGGGCCACGTTAGTGTAGAGAGATAGTCTTAGCATCAAGTCGGCCACGTTAGTGTAGAGAGATAGTCTTAGCATCAAGTTACAATTTTTCAGTGTAAATCTTCTGTCCTAGCTCAAACAGTTGTATCCTTATCCATTTATCTCACTTCATATAGCCAATTTTCCTATCCATATCTCTTTATATACTCCTATTTTTCTAAGTTTCTCAGGACCATACCCCCTTGACAAGCTGAATCTGGGCCAAAACGCTGAAAAAGTCATCTATTGTGCCTACTAAAATGCCAGCGAAACATCTAAGAATGTACCAAGTTAATGAGCTGAGGATAGGAGAAAGCATGACTACTTTGGCGGTATGGAGGATATACTGTGAGGTCTCCCTAACATCACATTATGGAGGATTGACCGAATCGTGAAAATTTGTAGCATGACTCGGTCTAAGCGTGGGCATTTTCGCTTCCCGAAAACATCGCCCATATGAGACAGTTCTCGTGACAATTCAGCCCCTTTCTCGCATGTATCTGTTGTCTCAAGAGCCTCCGATAGCAAGCCCTCTCTCTCTAAAGCTCTCTTGCCTTAGCATAGGCACGTAGAGACAAGGGTCTGCATTCGATTATGTATAAGCACGACGCATTCTCAAGGAGATCACGTCGTTTGTCGGCAGCAGCAACAATGCTCAAATGACACCGGCCATTGGGTGTCAGCGACTGGTCAGTGGCTCTTCTCAGGCCTTGCCTTCTCGGACCCAGAAGATGCGGCATTTTCGTTTCCAACATTTGCTTATCGCAAGCACGAGACAAAGCTGTGACTGCCGTGTGGAGCTAGTGATAGATTTTGTCTCGATGCTCTCAGGAGACTGAGTATTGTCGATGTCGTCTCGTCTCAGCCTGTTTCATATTGAACCGATTGCGAATCTGCCTATCTTTTTCAATCAACTCCACCAAAGCTCGCATACATCCAGATTGGACTGCGGTTTCGTAATCATCGCGAATTTCTATGAGGATTCGAACCCGGTGTCCCAAAAACGCTGCGACCAAAGAACAACTCTTGCATACAACATGCGCGACCTTCAATGCAGATAGATTCGGTCACTTATCTTTTTTGCCAATTTTACCTTGACAGGCATATGTATGCTTAATATACACGAAAAAAAGTTGGGTTTCGAGGAATCTCTTGATTCATAATTGTTGAGCTTACTTCCATTTCGAGTGGAAGTGTT